TCTGCTCAAAGAAGTGGCAGAAGTAGGGCAATGGGAAGAACAAACTCTAAGGAATTTACTTCCTTATGAGGTGGTTGAACACATTATTCAAAATATATGTCTACCTGAAGACACAAAAGAGATGGATAGACCTTACTGGAAGTTAGAATCGAAGGGAGAATTCACTGTAACTTCTGCCTTCCATCATGTTAGACAGAGACAGGAAGTGAATAAGGTATATAGTTTTATGTGGATAAAAGGTATGCCTATTAAAATCTCATTCTTTATGTGGAAATTGTGGAAAGCTAAAATACCCCTAGATGATATTTCAAAGAAATGGGGAATTCAAGTCCCATCCAGATGCTGTTGTAGTGAGAATCATAAGGCAGACGATATTTCTCATGATTTCTTATATTCTCCAGTAGCGCAACTAGCTTGGAAACACTGATTATTTAGAAAACCTTGCATTGGAAAAGGAAAATGTAAATGCAAACTATTTTCAGGAATTGGAGACGCAAGGAAAAAGAACAGTAAATAGTGACAAAGTATTAGAACCTTATCTGAGGATCAGACCATGCAGAAGCTGACGGACATTTGGAAACAGGAGATAAAGGAGAAGAGGGAAGAAGATCCTAAAGTTCAAATCCCCTGGAAGAACATGGAGGATATACTTTTACTAACCACTTGCTCAATTTGCAGGTTCACAAGTTGAATCAGATTTTAGGTGCTCCTATGTTTAGGCAAGCTCAACAACTTCAGTAATACATATCTTTACTAGTCGAAAAGGGTCGCAGACGCATTATATTCTGTAAACTTCTTGTAAACATACAATCAATCAAAATAGAATTAAAACACCATTGTCCTCTCAGTCAACTACTATTAGTGGTTTTAGAAAATTTTATGATACTCGTCCAATCAGTAAACTAACAAATTTACAGTGCTTAGGTAGAATGAATGCTAAAAACTTGTTTAAATTACCATAATTTTTCAGTTCAAAACTCTTTTCATTTAAGATAACCAAGAGAGTTGTCTCGTTAACCCTGTTTTAATCACTTCTATTCCTTCTGAACAAAGACATGATTCATTTTGAGTCTTTCTTGATAACATAGAAGCTCTTTTAGATATAAAAGGTTCATCAATTTTGATACAGAATTTTGTCGTTTTACATGATAACACAAAAACTTTTTAAATATAGGATACAAAAGTTTATCAAGGTAAAGAAAACAATAACAATTTCATATGATTTACCTGATAAAGTAGAAACCCTTCAGAATTTGGAATTCATCTGAAAGTTGTGCAAAGAGAAACCCTCGATTGATCTGATTTGCCTTTAGACAAAGAGAAATCGTCAATTTTTTATCTGGAAAAAGATGAATCCTCTGTTAACGAAGGGTTTAATACTACTACAAGATAGAATCACTTCTAGTCAATCTAAGAAGCTCGAGTTTCAGAAACTAATAAAGGTGAAGCAACAAAAACATAATACTTATAAGATTAACACGAAACCTACATTATAATGGATGATTTCAGCCCTAATCAACTTATCAGTCTAATAAAACAGAAATTCGCATACTTATTTAGTGATTAATGCAACAAGTATGAGACTGACTACCAGCATAGCAGATAATAGTTACGCCACAATCCCACCAACAACTTAATTGAGTAGTTCACGTGATCCTGACTCTACAGAACAGAGAGGACAATCAATGGAATCTACTTTTCAAGAGAAACTTCAACGATTGGGAGCTTGGCAGTCTGAAAAAACTTATTTCCCCCGTGACATTCATATGAAGAATCATTTAAATACATGAATCTTGAAAAATCTCATGCTAAGAGACTCTAATTTTGAGCCAAAAACTAAACCTAAAAAAGAAAGTTCTTCAATTGCTCATATTTTGCATAAGCTTATCAGAAAGTCCAGAAATAAACTGACAAAATGGGTATATCAACAAGAGAGGAAGGTTTACTAAAGTTAGTACATCCTGGTAGGCGTGTTGAGACTCATATAAAGCCTATTATTGCTGCTGAAGTACTCAAGAAATAGCACTTTATGAAATAGTATATTTTTAAAATAAATTAAATGTAGTAGAAATCTCAATTAACTTATTTGAAGTGATACCCCAAAAAAATTGGTTCTTAAAATAATACGTTTTCGATCGGAATTCTCAATTAACTTATTTCGAAAACGACAGAAAGGTATTAGTAACAAAATATGCTAGTGCATCTTCCATCGGAATTCTCTCTCCTATCTATCAACCTTTTTCTTCTATTCATCTCCTTCTCATCATGGGTAGCAATATCATCTATTTTGCGGTAGGTTTTAAATCATTTGACATAACAAGGAAGATCTCAAGGGCTGAGATTTGGTATGAATGGGTGGAAAGAGGCCGAAACATGATGACTTGGGTGAGTTTCAGCCAGAAAACGATGGAGTGGACAGTTCACCTTTTGAAGGAAGCATCGAAAACGACAGGAAACTCGGTGAAGAGATGGAAAAATCACGACCATTATTCTGAGATTTTCTGCTCAAGAAATTTTAACAGATTTGGTCGCTATTTCAGTATCATTAATATGCAAGGAAAGAAGAAAACAATTATTATTGTTCAAGAATGGTCATTTAATTTAGGGTGGTTGGATATTGCTACTAAGATAACCAACTTCATTAATGTCAAAACCACAAGGACAGTCAAGCTTTTACATCGTACGACAGAGGAAGGGCTCCTTTACGCAGAGGCTGTCAAGAATAATAAATGGTCAACCAGAGAGATGAATGTTGCTGGGGTAAACAGGAAAGGAAATTCCCTATTTATTTCGGAAGATACTAGGAAAACACAAAATGAACTTCTGGATAGGAGCGTGGTAGGCAGCCTATCAGAGGAGATCTCGAACGTCCATCTAGCTGAGATCCGTCGCTGGGCAAATAGTTCCTCGAAAACCACCATGGTATTTACATATATGAGATAGGATGCAACCAGTTTCTCTTTGAGTTCCCAACCAAGACAGCAGCAGACCATGTGGTGAAAGGAGAATGGTTCTGGAAATCTCACAAATTCCATCTAGATTGGTGGATGCCATGCTCAAACTCCATCGAGGAAAGCCTGAAGGAAGTTTGGATCAGACTGGTAGGTCTTCCACTCCAGTTTTGGTCCCAAAAGATCCTTCAAGAGATCGGAAATCAGTGCGGTGGATGGATACAAACAGAAGAGGAAACAGAGCTCCGAAACCACCTAAAATGGGCTAGAATAAAGGAAAGAGGGGATGAAGAATCAGTCCCAAAGACGGTGGAACTGATACACGATGGATCTATCTTCAAGGTCCAAATTTGGATTGAAGCTCCAGCGAGGTTGGTGAACAGTGGACAAAGGGGGAAGAAGGGTATTACCCAGAAGTCTGTGAAGAAACCCTACTTTATAGAGGGTAGGGGGGTTTTGAGTGCACCAAGGTGATGGGGCACGTGGGCACTTCGAAGTCGCAGGAAAATTTGAATTTTACAGATGGGCAAACGTACCAGAGGTCACGTGAAAGGGATGAGGGTCTTGATACACGTGTGATAGCACGTGCAGGCAGTTTAAATGAGAAGAGGAAAGTTTTGGGATGGGAAAATTTGGGCCATGATCCAGTGGCCCAAATCGGTTTTAAAGAAGGGGAGGGGAAAAATGCAAAAGGTCCAGCAGACCCTTTTGTAGATGAAATAATAGCAAATCAGTGGAAAGAAGCGCAGGCCTCTCAACATATCAGAGGAGAAAATATTTTTGACACTTCATCAGGAGACTTACAAATCGAGGGAGAAGAGCTGGATCAAGAGCTCCAGGATGCAACTCATAGGGATGATGACGCTATGTCAATCATTCAGATGGACAGTAGATTAGAGATTGACACTTATGCAGAACAAGGAAACAAAGAACTAGGAGCCGTGAATGTTGAGGAAGCCACTCCATTAAATTACACCAAGTTACCAGAGAACTTCGAACCAACATCGGATTCTACAATTCCTCTATGGGTCCGACAGAACATCATTAATCTGGGAATAGAATTTGGGATTCACTTTAATGGGTGCGAGGAAATCGCGGAGGAACTGTTTATGAAGATAGATGGGAAAAGGCAAAGATCCGGTGAAGCAGCAAAGGCTCTAATGTTGATGACACCAAAATCAAAAGTCTCAAAGGAATTAAAAAACCTGGAAGTGGGAACAATTTTTTTAGCTATGGCACAAGAAGTAGGGGGGGGATGCAACATCTCGTGCAGTCTCATGAAGATTAACATAGTTTCATGGAATGTGAAGGGACTAAATGGTGCCAGGAAAAGGCTGGTGATCAAAAGTCATACACAATTGGAAGGCTGATGTATTTTGTTTTCAGGAAACTAAATTGCAAGGGGATATAAACAACATAGTGAGAGATTTATGGGCCAACAAATGGGTAAAACATGCTCAATTAGAGGCAAGCGGTACTAGAGGGGGAGTCATTCTAATGTGGGACAGCAGAGTTTGGGAGGGGGAAGTATGTGAAACAGGTGCATATTGTATTACTTGCAAATTCACCGGCAAATCTCTGGACTTCAGCTGGCACATGTCTGGAGTTTACGCCCCTAATAACAGAGAAGAGAGAGAGGAAGTCTGGTGGGAATTGTGCTCAGCGAGAGGTCTTTTTTCAGGACCTTGGGTGGTTGGGGGGGATTTCAATACAGTCAGATTCCCTTCAGAGAAACGAAATTGTACCAGATTTAATAAGGCCATGACGGACTTCACAGGTTTTATCGAAGATGCAGAGCTAGTTGACATCTAGCTAGCGGGAGATGTTTTTACATGGAAGAAAGGAGAAGGCCATGATCCTGCAGCCAGGCTGGATAGTTTCCTGATTTCTGAGGAATGGGAGAACACTTTTAAGAACATCAAACAATCGACATTACAAAGGGTCATTTCAGATCATTGCCCTCTGATATTGGAATGTGGTAATTGGGAGAGACCAAAATCCTATTTCAAGTTTGAGAATTGGAGGCTTCAAACAAAAAAATTTAAGGAGATGGTGAAGATTTGGTGGGACTCCAGTATTTTTAGGGGAAAACCTGACTTTATCCTGGCAAGTAAATTAAAATACATGAAGGGTAAACTCAAAGAGTGGAGAAGAACAAGACAGGGAAATTTGGGACTACAGAAACAGAGCATTCTTAATCAACTGGCTGACCTAGGGAGGATACAAGACCAAAGACAACTCACAGATGATGAATCCTATTTAAGAGCAGTTCTCACCGTTGAATTTGAAGATAATGCAAAGAGAGAGGAAGTAGCTTGGAGACAAAGATCCAGAGTTTTGTGGTTAAAAGAGGGGGATAGGAACACTAAGTTCTTTCATAGAACTGCAAACAGCCACAGGAGATACAACAACATTGATAAGATTTCTGTTAATGGAGTGTGCACGCAAGAACCAGCAATAATCAAAGAAGAAATCTTAAACTTTTATCAGAATCTTTACACTAAGACAGAGAGGTGGAGACCTCAGTTCATTGCTAGAAATGGCAAGATGATTAGTGAAGGTGGCAATATCATGCTGCAGAGTCAGTTTACGGAGGATGAAATAAAGGACTGTGTTATGGCATGTGCTGGGGACAAAGCTCCAGGCCCTGATGGGTACACTATGGCTTTCTTCATTACATGTTGGGAGGTAGTTAGAAAAGAGGTAGTTGCAACTGTCCAAAACTTCCATGATCATGGTATTTTTGAGAGAAGTTTTAATGCTACCTTCATAGCATTGATTACAAAAAAGATAGGGGGTTAAGGAGTTGACGGATTTTAGACCTATTAGTCTAATAGGGAGCATATTTAAGATCATTTCAAAACTTTTAACCGAAAGACTTAAGAAAGTGGTCTATAATCTGGTGGATGCCCAACAAATGGCCTTCATAAAAGGTAGGCAGATCATGGATGCAATTTTGATTGCAAATGAATGTGTGGAGGAGAGAAAGAACAGTAAGGTGCCAGGCATTTTACGCAAATTGGATATTGAAAAAGCCTATGACCACTTGCATTGGGGATTCCTCTGGAAGTCCTTGGAAAACATGGGCTTTGGAGGAAAATGGCTAAAATGGATTAAGTTTTGCACTACAACTGTGAAGTTCTCTATTTTGATAAATGGTGCCCCCTCTGGTTTTTTCTCACAAGAGAGAGGACTGAGACAACGTGATCCTTTATCTCCTTTCCTCTTTATCCTGGCGATGGAGAGCCTAAATGACATGCTCAGAACAGCCTAAACAAGAGGATGGATAAGAGGATTCAATGCTAATATGAATGACAGACAAGGTCTGGCCATCTCCCACTTACAGTATGCTGATGACACATTGATATTTTGTGATGCAGACAGCTCTCAATTAAAGTACTTGAGAGTAATTCTGATCCTTTTTTGAAGCCATCTCAGGCCTACACATCAATTGGGGTAAGAGCTTCATCTTTCCTGTCAATGAGGTGCCTAGGATAAATATGCTTGCAAATATACTAGGGGGGGAGGTAGGGGATCTCCCCACAACATACCTTGGCATGCCTTTGGGTGACAAGAGCAAGGCAAAAGGTATTTGGAACAACATTCTAGAAAAGTGTGAGAAGAAGTTGGTGAACTGGAAAAGTCAATATTTGTCCTTGGGAGGAAGAGTCACACTCATCAACAGTGTGCTAGATGCTCTACCCACATATATGATGTCTGTTTTCCATTGACAGAATGAATGCAATTAGGAGGAATTTTTTGTGGCAAGGAAATTGTGATCCTAATAATCATAAATTCCATCTAGTGAAGTGGGACCAAGTCATTCTCAACAAAAAGGAAGGAGGTTTGGGGATTAGGAATCTGAAAATCCAGAATCAAAGCTTACTTATGAAGTGGTTATGGAGATTTGCCTCACAAGAACAAGCTCTCTGGAAGGAAACAATAAAGGCTAGGTTTGGTATGGAGAATTTGTGGATCACCAACCTGTCCACACAACCCTATGGATCTAGAGTATGGAGATCCATCAGAAATTTATGGATCAAATTCTTTAACAAATGCAAAATCAAGGTAGGGAATGGTGGAAGAACTTTGTTCTGGGAAGACAAATGGGTGGATCAGGTGACTTTGAGAAATAGGTTCCCTATTTTGTTCAACATGAGCCTGCATAAAGAGGCTACAATCAGAGAAATGAGAGATAATCAAGGGTGGGATCTAAGGTTTAGAAGACATCTAAATGATTGGGAGGTCAATAAAATAGTTGAGCTACTCAACATTCTAGGGCAGTGCAAAGATCTAAACACGAATGAGGACAATCTATTTTGGAATTCAGATGAGCAAGGTAGATTTTCAGTTGGCTCGACTTATAAAAGCTCACAAAGACCTGGTACTCATATAGGTGGATGGCCTTGGAAGATGATTTGGAAAGTCAAGATACCATTCAAGATAGCATGTTTCACTTTGCTGTTAGCCAATCAGGCTGCACTCACTCAACACAACCTCATGAAAAGAGGCATGCAAATCTGTTCCAAGTGTTGGTCTTGTGAATGTGAGGTCGAGACAATAAATCATCTCTTTCTACATTGTAGAGAGACTGCGAAGTTGTGGCAGATTTTCATCAACTTAAGGGACATCAATTGGACTATGCCAAGGAACATCAAAGAAGCTCTAGCTTGCTGGAACAGAGATGGGAATTAGTCAGGACACAGGGAGAGATGGAAGATTGTCCCAGCCTGCATTTGGTGGTCTATATGGATGGAGAGGAACCAGAGATGTTTTAAGTTGCTCTATCCAGAATTTGAAGCTGAATTGCCTGGTTCTTTTCTATTTTTGGTGTAAACATGAATATCCTCAAGATGCAGAGGATATTCCTAGTATTTTAGAGTTCTTATAACCTCCATAGGAGTTCTTTGCTTTTAGCAACTTTTGGATGTAAGTATTACTAGATTACTCCTTATGTATTCTTTTGTTTATAATACAAGTTACCTTTCTCAAAAAAAAATAAAGTGCTCGAATACTGAGTTACAAGTCAGCTTCAAATAGTAAAAGATTTTCAGCAGAAAATCAACATAGCATTGCTAGTGTAACTAAGTGTATTAAGCAACTAAGCAAGTACATTGTCAAGTCATGTAGTAACCATGATTTTAAATGCTAAAGGAGGTTATAAAGAATCCTTAAGGTCTTCACAAGCCTATTTCAGCTCACGACAGAAAGTTTGTTTTGTTGAAATGCTACATATATTACAAAAAGGAAAGCACAAAGATTATGCAGAACATTACATCAAAAACCCAAAAGATCACCGACTATGTATACAGTGAATTGATGAACTATAACATGGACTGAGCTTCATTTACAAGTTCTACTTTACACCAAAAGGAAATCACAAAAATACTAATCCCCCTCTGTCACATCAATTTAGATTAATCAACTCCTTTATAGTGTTAACCGAAAAAAATAAATTACTAGCACTTATTCGAAGAAACGAAGCAGAAAAATACATCTATAAACAACAACATCCGAACAATTCACATTTGGAAACACTCGTTTTCTTTTTTTGAAGATTTGAACAAATTGTAGAAACAATCTTGGGCATTCAAAATAAACTATAGCCTACATTACTCACTGTATGCAACAACCAAAACAATCACATATGAATACAACATTAGACTGGACTCTACAACTTCTTGTCAACAAAAATCGTATCAACAACACAAGAATATCAAAACCCTAAAGCTAAATGTGTAACCACACGCAAGCAATAAACCCAGATGCCATAAATTTAGACTTTTAAAGATACAAATTTTTACCTGATAAACCCTATTCCAACAAAATCCTTTCAATGTGATGAAGCTCATCATCTTCTTAAGTGAAGCATTTTGTTCTTCAACAAGAACTCTATGAGAGAATTTCGTATGCTAGAGGGAGAAATCTATGGCGTAATAGCTGTTCAACAAGAAATCTATGAGGGAGAAAAGATTCCTTTAGCGTTCTTGAGATTTTTTTAGCGTACTTCTGATGAGAAATTTTTCTGATGTGGGGGAAAAGATAAATTTATGTTTTATGAATTGTTTTTTTTTTGCCCAATAAAAATTGGAGGGAGAGTTTAAAATGTTTGAGGAAATATAATATTTTAGTGAAAATTTTAAGGCCACATTTATAATGTGTTGTTTTTACAATTATAAAAGTAGGACATTTTAAAAGTGTGGCCATATATGTAAACAGTCGTTGCCTATTATAACATACAGTAATAACGATTATAAAGTGTAGCCTATACCTTTAAAAGGCACACTTTACAAGTGTCGTAAATATTATCGAAGCCAAAAGTGAAAAACTTAGGCTACGCTTTAAAAGCGTCCTCAAAATTATTTTAGGCAACACTTTACAAAATTGTCCAGATTTAGTGTGGCCGTAGGCCTAAAATTTTGTAGAATGGCTTATAATATTGATGTTCATACATCCAAGAAGATTTCACAGCCTTTGAAGTGTAGAAAGTTGAAAAAATCTATTTCCCAATCACTATCTATATTTAGTAAAAGAAAAAAATCAATGACTACTACTCCAGTATCACACTCAACCCCAAAAGGCAAGGAGAAGGAGGAGGAGGAGGAGAAGGAGAAAGTGAAAAAGAAAGTGAAAGAGAAAGAGAAAAAGAAAGAGATGAAAGCCGAAGTCGTCAGTTGTAATGTGAAGCAACAATATCCATTTGAAGGTTTTAACATTGACGGCAAGGGTCCAACTGAACTAATTTCATCCTTCTCGCAATGGATAAATGAAGGTCTTTACAAGCATCATGCAAAAAAGTAAAGTTGTTCAACTATTATTACTATTTCTTCTTGTTGTCCACTAAATAATTATTTATAATGATTACACAATTGCAGAAGAGACAAGGACGATCACTACTTAGCCAATTGCTCGAATCTTGAGTTCAAACAACTGAATTTTGTAGTTGCATCTCTAAAGAAGAAGGATTGGTTCTACGTAATGTCTCAACCCAATAGGTGTTGGACTGATGAGGTAAATTCATGCCCACTTTTATGTTTTGATTAAGACATGAATACATACAAATAAATTGATACGGAAAATACACTTGTTGATGCATCTGTGCAGCATGTGAATGTCATTTTATACTATTTGCGGAAGAAGTCGAAGCAACAGAGTCATTCTAAATATCGATATACCACTACTAATTGTTTTTTCAAAATATACATTGACAAAGCCAGTGTTGTTCCTGAATATGAGTATAAAATCGTTGGCATTATCAAAGGGTTTGATATACCTGCTGGACTATCTTGGCACCTCACAGATGATGTTTATGTCCCTGTAAATTGTAATGGGGAGTTTCGTTGGATCTTGGAAGTCATTGAATTGAAGGAACGGTGCATAAAGGTGTATGATTAATTCGATGTCCTCATCTAGGACTAACAGAAAATTGTGCTCCGAGATTCAAAATTTGTCTACAATGTTGTCAAAGTACCTTGAATCCAACGGAATTTTTTGAGCAAAAAGAGTGAACCAACTGGTCAGTTCTTGAAACTTACCAAGGAAAGAACAAATCTCACCCATTTGAAGTCATACATGTTACTGGTATTGCCCAACAAGCAAGCAGTAGTCTGTAAGTATCACATTATTTTTTTGTCTTACCACTATCGAAAAGTGATGTTATTAGGTTTATTATATTTTCTAATTGATGATATACCATGCAGAGATTGTGGACTTTTTGTTGCTGCATACGCTGAGTTTTTGAGTGATGGACTACAAGTACCATCTGATGGAATTATTTCTGAAACCCTTCCCATTAGATATGC